TTCTAAATGGCAAGTCGTTCTGAGTTCTGATTTTACTAGTGTAACAATTACTTTCTCCTTTCTAAATTATAAGATATTATTTATAAAAAAACAAAATATCTTATAATTTAAAATAAAAAAAATATATCTCTATAAAAGTCATAATAACTTACAACGAGAGTAGATAGACTCAAAGTGCTCGGAAAGAGAAGAATACATGACTCGTCAGATTCTAACCATACGTGTTCTCAGAAGATCGAAGAAAAGCCAAAGGCTTGGGGAAAAGCAGGCGCATGGCCAACGCACCTTGCACACCTTGCACAATGCATAGACGAGCTAATTTTTAATGCCTATTTGGGAGGTCAATTTCTAGAGTTATCGTGGATTATTTAAACACCAAAATTTATAACACTAACTGGTATTATTGTGAGAGAAAAACACTTATAATATGCCGGTGAAAATTTACGATCGCTTTGACTTAAGACAACTCTAACAGTGATTTATTCATGACAGAAATGTTTAGTCTCTCAATTTTTTTTCTTGTGTAGCTTTTTTACATGAGGTTCTTCTTATTTTTAATGAAATACACTCTCCGTATCTAAATAAATCAATTTCTAGAGTTATCTTAAGCCAAACATTTTAAATTTTGACCACCTTTATAAAAACAAACACCAAAATTTATAACACTAACTAGTATTATTAGATACATTATAAAATATATTTTATAATATGCCGTGTCACAAATGTTTGTACTCTTTTCAATAAATCCGGTCAAACATAAAAAGATTGACTTAGAGACAACTCTAAAACGTGGTTTATTCATGACAGAGGGTGTAGATATAATCTCATGCGATTTCGCTAACAAAGAAGTCTTCTCGTAGTGCCACACAGTAGTAAGTACTCCCTCCATTTCAAATTACATGACGATTGACTTTTCTAGATACATAGTTTTTTTATGCACTTAGATATATACTATTTAGTAGATCTCCTACAACTAAAAAGAACAAAGTGTGGACATTTTTTGGTACGATATTTGTTTTGGTTCATCCGTTTGCTCACGCCTGCGATCCCACGACATCTTAATTACTGATTGATCGTGCCATTCTCCTAGATTGAATATTGTCTGTCATGTGATAGAGGAATCACGGCAAAAAAGGAAGTAGAAAATTATTGTGATATCCATATACACATTGCATACACCAACATACATGGCATCGAGTAAAAAGAAAGAGAATTAACACAGAAGGAAAGAGAATTAAGATAAAAGAAAAATCTTTTGCATTTCTTCTTGATCCCGAGAACCTTGTCAAATCTCCAACTACATTTAATTAATTTCCAATCCTCTCTTTGCATTTGTAAAAGGGACAGCTTTTTTTGAATCCTTTCATTTGGTTTCACGCTCACGTGTTCTATCGCCTCGCCATCGCTTTTCTTGCGTGAACCATAGTTGATGTCATCTGCCTTCCATGGCTCAACATTTCTCCCAATCCTAAGAGAAGGTCACTACCTTTCCTCGACCGGAGATCCAAAGCTTGCCAGAGGATCTCCTCGAGTCCATCGGGCGGCGTCGGCAACATTACGCGTTCAAGTCACGACCCAACTAGCGTTCTTTCGATCCGCTTTCTTTCTTTGGCCAAGATGCCATCTTTGCTTTTACTTTGAAAAGCCTACCATAAAGCATACTAAGCAATTCTACACCTCTCTCAAGGATGGTAAACAATTAACAAGGTAGGCAATTTTGAATAAACAACTTAATGCGATAAGTGCTTTCAAAGTAAACAAGGTCAATGCGTCCCGAGAGGCGAAGGTCTTGTTCAAGACGCATCCCGCGACCCAACGTCCGAGAACTTGCGCAACTAGAGGTGGCGGGTTCTACATGAAATGATCCTGTGTGGTGGTCAAACGCGCTTTCATGGATGGACGGGCGGCGTCCGTGACGCCGCCAAATCCATTCGTGTGACGGTGTCCGTGCCCCCAAGATCAAACCCTAAAGCTCCCGCCAAAGAAAATTCGAACACGCTGCAAAATGAACTTGGTGTCCTCATCGGAACACGATAAATTAGGGTCCATGGCCCGTGGGTCCTCCATCCTACCAATGGCTACGGGGACACGGATGCCAAATTTTTAAATCATACTAGAACATGTACAGAAAAATTTTCAGATCAAGCTAGAAGACATGAGGGACGTGTTCTTCCGTGAGATCATACTCTCGGCGTCGCGACATCGCCGGTGGTGACTCTGAGTACGCGGGCCATGACCATGATTGGGTGCTCCACGGAGGTCGTGAGACACTTCCACGCCGGGTTGGAGTCGACGGCATGGACGCCGCCGCCGACACCAAACCGAGTTCTCCGTGGGGTCCATCGTCCATCGCCAAGACAAGTTCTTGACGATCGACTACACCGAGAAATCTCCATCTGCGATAGCAACGCCGCCGACGCTCTATTTATATAAATTCTTCTCCAACCGCGCGAACTTCGCCGCCGCATATCCATCGCCGCCGCCTGCGGGACTCGCAATTTTTTGCAATAGCTTCACGTGGAATCAAACGGTGAGTGCACATTGTGGGTGCCATGGTGAGCACATTCCACGAGACACGAGCTTCACCTCAAATGCTTAGCCAAAGCGATCTAAAGTGCAACCTCCATGACCGTTTTGAATTAGCCAGAGTGATCCATAATGAGGGATATCGGTGATCGGATTTTGACCTTGACCTCGTGTCTAAATATTTCAATGAAAGTTTCAGTGGAACAAGTGTATCCAAGTATAAGGAGAACAAAATCTATATGTCTGAGCTATTGTATGTGAATCCATACGATTTGGTCCATCGATTGGAGATCGCTGATATTGCTGTTGGCGCATCCGAAGTGAAGCCCGTCCAGGAAAAGATGCAGGGTTCCGAGGCTCTAGGTTGAATTCGATCCCATCTCTGAAAGTTCTAGAGTTTGTGAGTCTGCGACGCCGCGCACTCCGTGACTGTGTTAAATTCATAAACTTTGCTTTTTGGATTAAATGTCACTTTAACGTTGGTATTTAATTTAACAGTATTGTTATCTTATCGTGCGATCCATGTGTTTTTAGTATAAATTGTTAGTTATCCCGTAGCAACGCACGGACACGCTACTTAGTATATAATAAAGTAAAAATAATGTATCTTGAAAAGCCAAAACATCTTATAATTTGAAATGAAAGGATTAGTCACTGTTGGTCGTCACAGTCTTGTTAGGATAAACTGAAACACAAGGGGCAGATACTATAATGAATAAAACACTTCCTTTTTTTCAAAAAAAAGGTGGCAAATACTAGAACCCTTGCCTGCTGCCACTGCGCCTGTGGGAAAAAAAATGTGCCTCTTTGTCAATCCCGGGAAAAAAAACATTCGAAGGTCCTCCCCAAATCCGTCCCACTTGGCCGTCTCCAATCCCTATAGATTTGTTTGAAAAATAATCCTCCTCTTCCCTTTTATTTATATCAGTCACTCTCTCCCCCCCCTCTCTGCCGTCTCCCCGTCTCTGCATGCGTGTTCAAGGGATTTTTAACTTTTTGCCATCCTTACGGACGACACTTCTTCTTTTGGCATTTTTATACGTGCTCCTACACAATTGTCATCGTAAACAGTGAACCTCCTACGCTTTTGTCATTTTTGCTGACATGGCACGCCAGGTGGGCACGCGCAGCGTGGCAGTGAGCCTGAGAAGACATACAGAGCATGCGAAATAACCTATTTACCCCTGTTGCTTATCACCCTCTACTTGTTGATGCGTGGGCCCCACACGTCAACTTTGTCTTCAACCTCCAGCCATCACCCAAAGCCGAGCGACCCGACGGCGAGCGGGCTCTGGCGGCGAAGGGAGGAGGAGCGGCGCGCTGGCACCTAGGCCGTGCTGCTACAGAGCTGCTGCCTCATAAAAGCTCCCTGCTGCTTGCTCTTGTTTGCAGCTTCCACGGAGGTGGGGTAGAAGACTGGAGCTTGCACGGAGCTGCGCCCATGACTGGAGCTCCATCGTCACCATCGATCTCCCCCATCCAGCCGTCTCTGCTACTCCCAACGGGCTCTGCGAGTTCGCAATGGCATGACGACTTCACCCCGCTACTCGTCGTTCGGCAACCCCCGCCCCATAGCCGTGAACCACTGTCGTCGCCGCCATTGTCGTCCCGAGGTCGAGCTCACCGATCTCCGCATACACAGTAGCTCTCGCCTCCCTGTCTCCTTCGTTGGCGCCGCAAGGACCCGCCGTGGCCACCTATCCACATCTCAGCGCCAATCCATGGCCGCAGTGGCGTCTTCCACCTCAATCGAAGCACTCCGCCGGAGAGCCTCGCTTCTACTTGTGGCTGGCTGCCACCAGCCCCTCTTTGCCGCAAGAACTCCTCCATCGACTTTGCGCGCGATGCCTTGCTCGTCGTCCTCGGCTGCTCGGCAGCCATGGAGGGATGACGAAGCTGGAGGTGCCTAGCTCCCATCCAGGTGTTGGAGATGTGAGATGAAGCTGGAGGTGCCTGGCTTCCATCCGTGGCCGGAGGTTGAAGACAAAGCTGACATGTAGGGTCCACGCGTCAGCGAGTAGAGGGAGAGAAGCAACATGGGTAAATAGGTCATTTCGCATGCTCTGTAGGCCTTCTTAGCCTCACTGCTATACTGGCGTGCCCACCTAACATGCTATGTCAGCAAAAATAATAAAAACTTAGGAGATTCGTCGTTTACGATGGTAATTATATAGGAGCGCTTATAAAAGCGACCAATGAAGGAGTGTCGTCCGTAAGATGGCGTCCTCTCCGTATCCTTCACCAAATTATTTCTTGGCACCTCGGATCAGCATATTCCATCTGCAACCCCCCCGCTCCGTTCCCCCGCACGCTTTGACCCAGAAAGTCGATCCATCTCCGAGCACGAAGTCGAACACGCGATCCCATTCCCGTTCTCTCGTCCAATACAACCTCCAGCAAGCCGCAGCGCCAAGCCTAGAAGCAGAGCACGGAACACAGGAGGCACTGCCGTCCCCGCGCCGCCGCTGCGGGGAATGGGGCGGCACGGCGTGGACCAGATCGGCGCCGTGGCGGCGTTCGCCTGGGTCGCCCTCCTTCCTCTGCTGCTCGTGGGCGTCGTGTGCCCGGGCGCCCAGGCCGGCCAGACAAGCGAGTACCGGCGCCAACTCGGCTCCGCCATCGACATGCCACTCGACGCCGATGTCTTCCGCCCTCCCCCGGGCTACAATGCGCCCGAGCAGGTAAACCACTCGATAGGATGGCCCCGTGCTATGCTCATCACGATTGTGTTCTAGACTTCAGATTATGTCATCGTTCGTTGTATAGGATACTGTTCGCGTCCGGTAGCACACGGGTTTGTTGCTCCGTAGTGGTCGCTGCGACGTGAAAGGCACGAGTGGCCAGAGTCGGTAGAGTGGATTGCCATGCTCTGCAGAATCTTTGGTGCTTCCAGGGAATCTGTATTTTGTTTGTCAGCGTCTGTTTGGTTATATTCTGCAGTTGTCGTTAATCCCGATCGTTTGTATGTAGTATGCTTGTCATTTTAAATCCGTGCTAGTTACATGCTTCCCATGTGAATACTAGCTAGGCGCCTAGGCTGAGACAAGAAAATTCTTTCCCAGTAGTACATGTGAAGTTTTTACTGTTGGTTCCTTTGGAACTTCCCTCCGATTAGTCACACTGTTTTCTTGAATTTAAATATTTCCATCTGAAAATCTATGTCCTTTTAGTGGACTTGCATGGTTTGCCCGCATATGCTCCTGTCAGCTATCCTACTGAAAAGCCGTTTGAAGATAGTTTATGGACCATTTTAGAATGTTATTTCTAGAACACATAGACCACAACAGTTAGTCATTGTCCATTTTGTCATACTAATCTAACATCCTTTATCACTAAAAAAAAGATGATGTTCCTGTGGTTTCCTTTATACTGAATGCTGAGCTCTGCCTTTTAGAAAATCTGTACCCTTTTTATCTTCTAATTCCCTAGTTTTCTCTTTAGATGACCATTTATCTGTTGTAGTATTTCCTTGGCCTGTGCTATGTTCTTAGCACGTTTTGATTGAACCTACTTCATGATTGCAATTTGCAAGTTACAGATTTATACTGCATCCATGAAAGTGTAGGGTCTTTTTCAGTGCTTCTTATATGTATTTTACGCTTTTCAGGCTACTTTTGCATCCTTAATCCCAGGCCACAAATTAAACGTTAAGAGCTCAGTGCTCTTGAATTAGAAATACTGGTTCCGTACTACCTTTTTGCCAATTTGTTTTGCTTTAGTCGTTCTTAAAGTTACCAACAACTTCTAGAGTAGTCTTCCATCATATATATTTATTTTCGAGTTTGACCGTTACTTATAGGCTGTAGGACACCTTTTGTGGACTTCTTTGTGTTTACTTTTGTCCTAACCTTTTTGTTCTTGCTTCATCTTACTGCATAGAATTATTAAATATTACAATGCCTTTTGCACAAGGCTGGCGTCCATTTCTTTTTTTTTCTATGCTGTTGTGCTCACACCTTTCTTGCTTCATCTTACTCCATAGTCAGTGGGGTATCTCCACTCTGATGCTGATTGATTTTGTGCTGTCAAAGGTTCACATCACACAAGGCAATCATGATGGCACAGCCATGATAATCTCATGGGTGACAACAAGTGAGCCTGGCTCGAGTACTGTGATCTACGGGACTTCAGAGGACAACCTCAACTATACTGCAAATGGGAAGCATACTCAGTATACTTTCTACAACTACACCTCAGGATACATTCATCATTGCACAATCAAAAAGTTGGAGGTCACCATCTCATCAGAATTTTGGTCGTACGTATGTTTGTTTTTTCCTCATATAGAATCTCACTTGGATACCCATCTTTGTTTCAGTTTGACACAAAGTATTACTATGCTGTTGGGGTTGGACAAACGGTGAGGAAGTTTTGGTTTATGACCCCTCCAGAAAGTGGCCCAGATGTTCCATATACATTTGGTCTCATAGGTGCTTCCCAATATGATGAGGCTATGACTTTATTGATCATCGCTGAAATCTAGGATTGATTATATTACTGAAACTTGACAATTCTGTTCAGGTGATCTTGGTCAGAGCTTCGATTCCAATGTTACACTCACTCATTATGAGTCCAATGCAAAAGCACAGGCAGTGCTTTTTGTTGGGGATTTGTCATATGCAGATAACTACCCATACCATGATAATGTGAGGTGGGATACATGGGCAAGATTTGTAGAGAGGAATGTCGCATACCAGCCTTGGATCTGGACTGCTGGAAATCATGAGATAGATTTCTGTCCAGAACTTGTATGTAGTATTATCCTCTACATTATTTCATATGCTATATGTTTCAATGTGTGTGTTGGCAGTTCAAAAAGTAGATATTTCACTAGAGCCATGTTATAGGCATTGAAATGTTCATTCAGTTGCATACATTTGCAGGGTGAAACAAAGCCATTCAAGCCATTCAGCCACAGGTATCCCACACCCTACAAGGCTTCTGTTAGCACGGCACCTTACTGGTATTCCATCAAAAGGGCCTCAGCCTACATTATTGTCTTGGCATCATACTCAGCATACGGTATGTGTATGTTGGACTGATGCTGTGTTTTAGTCCTTTTATTGCAAGTATGCACTATGCCAGTCAGGTTGGTGAGCCTTAGATCGACGGCGGCAGCGCCCAGAGCACGCCCAGCAACAGGTTGGTGAGCCTTAGATCTTTTTTCGTCTGTCGCTGCCTGCAGCCAGCAAAATGAGACCAATGTTGCTGTGCTCGCGTGGCTTGCTCTAATTGCGTTGTTAGTTTGTTGGCCATGCTAGTTCACTGGCAGTATTTTGCTCTCAACCTTAATCTTTTGAATACATAGTGTGTCCGAAAAGTTAAGGTGAAATGTAACCATGATAGTTATCATAACATCTATAATTGATCAGTGGAAGGTGGGCTCCCTCTCCGGTACATGCTACACTCTCCGAGGCAGACAGCTGGAGTTATATGCGGGTATGTTTCATCTAATTTCACTCTCTGTTTTACCTCATACTTTCAAGTTTCATATTTTTGGATCGTGTGAAGAGGCTTTTGTGGATAATTTTACGCAAGAGACTGATGCAAAAAGGAAATTTTATGCAAGAGATGCTTACTTTCATGCTGCTTTAAACTTTTGTGTAACATGTTTGATGCAGGACTTGAGAAGTAACAACGGTGTGTTAAGCCGCACCGTAAGTATTGGCTCAAAGCAGAGTGATACTGAGCGGCATGTCAGATTTGCCGAGCCTGCATACTCATTTGTTGGAATGCATTGCATCTTTGACAACTGCAAAGCCTCAGGTTTTTTCTTATGAACCCATGGCCATGCCATGCGTTTCTTCTCTTTCTGCGATCAAGTGTTTTTGTCTGATTGATTTGGTTATACTAGTCTTGTCATTAATGACTGATTTTATTCTTGGCAGTTACGATATTGAAATTTGGCCGCGCAAGTTCCGATCTGCTTGCATATGGTGCGGCAGATGGCAGCTTGACGGTCTGCCAGGTTTCTGAGCCACCATCTGTTCTTCAAAAAATGATAGGGCATTCTAAACATATCACAGGTTAGACTACACATAATTTTGCTAGTAAAGCTATCCTCTTGTATCTACCTTCGTTTCTCACAATGGAAGTCAACAAAGAGTTGCTACATATTACCAATATTTTCCCTCCTATTTCAGAAAATCACTAGTTCTGTTAAAGTTGATTTCCAAGTATCAATAATACCTGCTATTCTGGTCATGAGGAAACTTGCGTATTGCTGAGCATATAATATTTTTTCTTGAACGCCATATAAATTGATTTACAGAAGTAATACATTTGCTAATTGAATGTGGTTTTTTTTTATGCCTCAATACTTCAAGTACAAGTTGTAGTATCTGAACTTGCGTACAAACTCACACCACACACCACACGCACACACACTGAACACAAGCTAAGCCTACTACACCTATACCTAAAGACACACACGCGGCTGAGAGGTACTTGAATATCATCAAACTCCAAGCGTGACGGGCACGGCACCTTGACCATTCTGGAACATCCGCGCTTGAGGTTGCAAAGAAAATGGGGAAAACCCGGTGCGAAACCTGCGTCGAGCGGGGCTCGAACCCAGGCCGTGGGGCTCCATTGAGCAACTCCCACCACTGAGCCATCGGCTCGTTCGCAATTGAATGTGGTTTTCTCCATAACAAGAAAAAGTATAAGATATGGAAACTTTTCTATATTTTTTTCTTGACCTATGCAGTAGAACTATGTGTCATTTCGTTAAGAAGATAGAAATACAAAGGAAAGAGGCGAAGTGCCTTTTCCAGACCCACCAAAAACAACACACACAGAAATGCACCACACAAAACAAAAAAACGACCACCAACAGCCCCTCAATTAAATAAGAGGTTTAGTTGATCAGGGCAAGTGACCTCGAGAGCAACTCTTGAAGCGCTAAAGCACCAGCAGAACAGCATAGGCTGCTCTCATACACAATAGCTTGCAGGACAACTTCTAATCTCGGCCTTGCTCCTTCAAAAACACAAGCATTCTGATGCTTCCAAAGTTCCCAAGCAACAAAGATAATTAGAGAATTAAGGCCTTCTCTCACTTCCTTAGGAAGCCCCTTTGCAGCACTGCACACCAGCTAGAAAATATAGTTACATCCGGGCTTGGCGCAAGGTTGGCCATGCTGAGTTTATGAAGAATCATGGTCCAGACTTGCCGTGAGAAAACACAAGAGATAAGAACATGCTAGATCATTCGTTTCATCAGCTTGGTCACAAGCGGACAGGCAGCAGGATGAGGAAGTCCACGCTTGGTCGAAATACATTAGAAATGATCAATTCAAACTTCAGTTTCCTATCTATTCCTTCATTACTTATCTAGTTATCTTGTGTCTCGTGATTTTCAAATTCTGACCACATTACAGATTTTGATTTTTCATCTAATAACCAGTACATAGCTTCATGCTCTCTGGATAAAACTTTGCGAGTATGGGAAATCTCTAAAGGCACATGCATCAGGGTCGTCTATGGAGTTTCTTCCCAGCTATGTATCTGTTTTCATCCTGTAAGTTCCAACTTAGCACAATTTACAATTTGTTTCTAACCCTTTACTTATTTCATTGGTGCTATCTCCCTATACCTCTGCTGCTAATATTTCTTTGTATGGGGATCATTATGAGTTCTCTTATGGACTGCTTTGTTGCAGGTGAACAATAATTTGCTTTTAGTTGGCAATGCAAACAAGGAAATCAATGTAAACTTCTTCGCCTTTTGCTCCTGAAGTCCAAAATTTATATACTGTTATTCTCTGTCTGATATGTTGCTTGTTGCTTGTGCCTCTAATCTAATATCCGTGGGTCAATAACAGTGGAAAACAAAGTATCTGTCTTCTGCTATTTTTTTTGATATGGATGATGTACTCTACTGTGTAATTGGTTAACAAAAATCATGTAAAATTGTGACCAGCACTTTTTCCTTGCCCCCATTTGTTTTTCCCATCTTGTGATTCATTTATCCCTGTAAACTAGGCAATAAATTTTAGCACTGGGAGAGTAATCAGCAAACTTAACTTTGATGATGCGGTTACAGCTCTGGATATTGATCACACAGGGCAGTTTATTTTCTCTGGTGATGCACAGGTATCCAATAATTGAACTTGTTTAACTATTGACATGATATATGATGTTCATATTTTTGAAATAGTTCTTGAAATGCAGGGTTACATATATACTGTTAGTGTGAACTCACATACAGGGTCATTATCTAGAACTCGCAAGAACAAAAGTAGTAAGAGCAAATCTCCTATTACGACCATCCAGTATCGGACCTTCTCTCTGGTGGCGCGCTGTCCAGTACTTCTTTCTTGTGCTCAAGATGGAAACCTTTCTTTCTTCAGGTGTGTTACCTTCATGATAGCCTTATATGGTAGACTTTACATAACCATTTATATTTTTGACATTTCAGCATCTCGACAGATGCTAAGGGATACTTGACTCTCATATCCTCCCTAAAATTGGCCTCACGGGTGCAGACTACCCGTGCTTCTTTCTGTCCACTTCTTTCCCTTGAGAAAGGAGAGTTCATAGGTAAGTGGGAGTTAAAACTTAAAACTTGTTCCAGTGTTTGAAGCTATTGGTGATCATGGTGTCTTATTTCTGCAATTTTCCTGCAGCTAGCACTAGTGTTGGCACTTTTATTTGCACTGCTTATTGTCATATATGTTTTACTCCATTGTAGTTCACAGAAGTGCCATGACAATCACACGTGAAACTTGGTTTTAAGTTTTCTGAACAAATGTTAATCAATATATTTAAAAGGACGAATTGGATTTTACCAAAAAAAAATGATGGATGTCTGTGAAAGATAGGTGTCAGCTTTTGTGGGAATATATCTTTTGTTCCATTCTTTGCCTTCATGGTTTTTGGTTGGACAGCTGGATTTTTTAAAAAAAATTGACATATTTTGTTCTGAACTTGAAGTAACTGGAAGGGAGGACGCAAATGTTTACTTCTATGATTTGGCACGCCCAAAGAACTCGTGTGTGAATAAACTACAGGTATGTGATAACCTTGCTCAGTTTGCCACATCTTAAACTTTTTTGTTCCACCATTAGTATGAGACCAATCATGTGTACTCCTGAAGGGACATGGTTCTCCAGTAATTGGAGTTGCCTGGAATCATGGGGAGAATTTTCTGGCCTCATCTGATTCAGATGGCACAGTTATTGTATGGAAGCGATCTAAAACTAATTAGTGTGATTCCACGCCATGAAGGACTTTTTTGGATGATTCCATAAAGAACGAAGAGTAGATGCTGTTTGATGATTCCAACAAAGGCATTTTTTTGTTGTACATTGCACCTCCATGGTATTGTTTGTAACATAACTACACAAGGCAAGGGCAAAGATCAACGGGCCTTTGATTGTATTTACGGTAGTATAGGTCTCCATGTAGAGTGTATAGCATTTGTGGTGGTATATCCTGTGTCATTTGTTTTAGGACTGTATCTTTGTATCATTCTTGATTTTTTGTCCTCCAAATATCTTAAACTTGGTTAGGATTAACAGGTACAGTGCATTACATCTACTAGCAAATATGTCCGTATCAAACCATAATGGGAAGGGACCATGGTAATGATATAATTTCTATTTATAATTTATCCTTTCTATAAAACTTGAAATCTATAATTTATTTTATGATGACTATGATATCCATAATATAATTTAATGTTGTCATTAATATGACAATGTCTTGTTCCAGGACAAAAAAAAATTAGACTTAAATTAAATATCGAGCTGTCGAATTTCTTTGAGTTTAATTATAGTTTGTAAGGAGTTAATTGTCGACGTGTCAATGATTGATTTGTGCGACGAGAGACCTCTCTTAATTTTTCAGTCGTCATCGATGATTCTAGAGATACATTATTTAGACCGGATTAGACAACAAACCGTAAACAATAAACTGATCAAGATTTAGTTCATGGACTATTGATTGATTTAGATTTTAATGAAAAGAAATTTTGTTTGTAATCAATACTACATCAACAATTTAGTGATGAATTCTTTTGTAGGGAAAAATTAATAGTGTTCTTATTTATTATTTATTTTTGACGTTTATTATGAAAAAAGAACCACAGGCATAACGGTACGTGTAGGAAAAATTGGACCAAAAAACCAAGCAAAAGAAAAAAAAAAAAAAAAAAAAAAAAAAAAAATATGGATAGAAAAAACAGGTGAAAAAATTGGAAACAGAAAACCCAACGGGTAAAAAACACAGAAAGCAGCACGACGTATGGAAGAACACAACCGGAAAAACAAATGAAAAAAAGGCGGAAGGAATCTTTTTTTTTTTGGCTCTCTTTATTATTTTTTCTATTCTATCTCTCTCGTGTTTACCCTTTTTTCGTTTCTTTGGCTTTTCTGCCTTATCCCGAAGACCAGACCTGAGTCTCCTCCTTCCACATGGCTTCCTCGCTTCCATCTCTCTCTCGACGCGTCCGACCGCTCCTCCCCTGCTGCGCACAAAGGAAGTCCGCCCTAGCTACACCCGGAGCGGGCAAGCCGGCCCCCTCGCCGTCGCGCCCGGCCACGCACCATCGCCGGCGGGCGCCTGGCCACGCCCCAGCACGTCAATAAGGCACTGCACGCCCGCCTCCGCACCGCCCCCAACGCTCGCACTTGCCTGCGCCTCCCTCCCCCGCCGCTGAGCCGTCGCCCCACCTCCTCCGCGCGCCACCGCGGCACCTCCTCCCCTCCCCATGCCTCTCATCGGCTTCACCTGCACCGGCCGTGATCGCGCGATGCGCGTGGGTGCGGATCCAACCGCGGTGAGTGCTGGGCCTACGGGAGCGTGAGGGAGCCGCCGAGCCGGGCGAAGCTTTTTTTTCTCACCGGATCTGGCCGGTGCAAGGCAGGAGGAGAAGCTTGCCTCCCCATTGGCTTCTGCGGCAACCTATGGCTCCTTCAGGCACGCGCCCTCCGTGTTCCAGGCCGCCCAGTGGCTCAACGGCCAGGCACCAATTTGATTCATTGTGCTATTTGCAAAAAAAACAAAAAAAACAAAATTATTCATTGTGCGCTCTTGATTTGGTCCTCTCGCTTCTCAGTCCAGTTGGTGTCCGATTTTAAGTTAATTCGTGTTCGATCTACTGGCTGAAGTATTTGACTTTGGGAATGGATCCACGGGATTTTGTTTTGGATGGATCTGGAATTTGGATTTGGTTCCATGTCGTGTGTGGACAGGATACCGCATAGCGATACTTTATCAAAAATGCTATACAACCCACAAATAAGTGCCACGAAGCATTAAATATAAATAAAAAATAAAACTAATTATAAAGTTTAGATAAAATTAATGAGACGAATCTTTTAAGTCTAATTAAACTATAATTGGACATTAATCATCAAATAACAACGAAAGTGCTACAGTATTATTTCTCAAAAAAAAAATCGTCAACTAAACACGTCCTATGCAACCATATGTATTATACACTTTTAATACATAAATTTTTTTATACCATAGAATTAAGATCAACAACATATAATCTTTCTTTTATCTCCGGCTTTTTTCTACCTGCTTTTTTCTATCTTCTTATAATCACAAATGATAAGATTACAAATCCATATACTACCTGCTTTTTTCTACCTCCTTATAATCATAAATTATAAGATCACGAATTCATATATCATAAAAAATATTTTTTTTTATGCAAAGACAAAATAACAAATCGCGGGCAGTTATGATTGGAGCGAGGGGCCGGGAGGACAAATCGCGTCGTCGCTCGCTCTCATGATGGCGGTCGTCCCGTCGGTGGACTCGTGGCTCTACGAGAAATTCAACACGGACGGCACCGTCCGCACCAACTACGACGCGTCCGGCCAGCAGGTGGCGATGCTCAACCTCGACCGCAGCTCCGGCGCCACCACAACGCGCGTGAGCGTCGGAGACAGTTGAAAAGAGAGAGGGAGAGAGAAAATCTATGTGTTTTTTTGCTAAAATATATGGGTTGTATAGCATTTCTGTTTAGAAAAAATATATATAATTTTTTTATCTCTCCTCTCTCTTTCTCACCGGTGACCACCGGCGCCGGCAACCTGCGAGCCACCGGAGACCCAGGTGGAGGCCGTAGTCCCCCACGTGCAGCCGGCTGCTCCCCGCCATGGTGCAGTAGATGGTCATGTTAGCGAACGCGAAGCCCACCCTCGGGAAACAACATGTGGCGTTGAACTACCGGTACCCCCTCAGGAACTCCGGGCCTTGAAGTAAGGTCGTCGTGTCTAACGCCGTGAGCGACCTGTGCAGCACGCTCCCCGTGTCGGCGAGGCGCGCCTCCACGAAGCAGTGTGCCAGGCGCTGCGTGGCGTCCCCCGTCGGCGACGCATTCTGCTTCGGCGGTGGCGGCGGCGGATCTGTGATTTGTCATTCCATAAAAAAAGTGTAATATGTCATATGTAGAGAATTTAATCCTATAGTGCAAAAAAATCATGTATTAAAACTGCATAAAACACATGGTTATATAGTAGACAAAGTCACGGACAGGAAAGTCCTAATTTTTTTCCTCTTCGGTATTAGGGATAGATATATTTACTTTCGAATTCTAAACTCATGAGTTGTCTAGTTCTGTGGGATCAACAGAATTCTCATTTCGTTCCGAGAAAAATGAGCGTCGGGCCTGGTAGGTGAGGTAAGAGTAGGGCGCGTTTATCTGATTGTTGACGCATCGTACTGTCGTGGCCGTTTTCCCAGCATCGCCAACTGGTGGTTGAGGCCTGACGCGTTTGGGCCAGATGGTGGGCTAGTCCAGAACACCCTGTCTCGCCTTAGAATGAATTTCCGGCTGCATAGAAATAAATCATCTAGCCTCCCTCAGCTATCGGCCTAGTCTACACTCTTAGATGTTTGGTTCGGCCTTTTTGGCCCGTAACCAATTAACAGAACTAATAGATTACTCCCTCTGTCCTTAAAAAAAGAGTGACTAGACAACATTCCGTTGATTTTGTTTCATTCTATCAACCAGAATTCCAACCAATCAAAAACTGACACGTCACAACTCAAACTGATTTAAAAACTGGAAGATACGAAGGAATAAAACAACCAGATGTTATTAAGCAAAGGATAATAAAAAATTGATTGAAAAACTAAAACTGCCAACAACCAGATCTCAACAAATCAGTGGACCACACCGGTTAATAAATCAGACATAGATGTGAAATCTTTCTTCTGAATTTCATCAACATCAATTACTACATTGACTGGGTCATGGATTTGAAACAATGTACTTGCTGGTCGACACATGTGAGAAATTGCTGGTTCAGGCTTAATCCTCTTGTTCATAGGGTTAATAGGTTCTGTATAGAAGAGAAATTATTAAATACAAAGAACAACAGAAACTTGTATTCTAAAAGGAACAGAGATGAAAATAAAACAAATGATAGAAAACACAACCCGGCTAGGATACAAACTCAGTTCTATAACAAGAATTATTGTTCATAGCCAGTGGAGTGTCCAAAACGGGTATGAGGTTTCTCAATTTGGCCATCATATTATCAAAGGTAATTTCGTTTCAGTTGGATTCTAAAATTAAACATTATATATTATTAAAAAAGCAAAAGGGGAATATAAAAATAAAAGAACACAAGAATTCTAAATTTCAAGATTACCTGAGTGCCTATATGTGGAGAATTGTTGATACTTTGATTCTTATCTGGATGAGTGGTTTCATTGTTTTGTAGTGCCTCTCTACTAGATATAAAATTCTCTTTATCAATTCTTCCAGTATGGATTAACATAGATGCATGTGTATTCCCTACTAAAAAAGAAAGGCCCCATTTAATAAAAAACATATCCAAAGCATAAAGGAAAAGCAACAAATGAAATAAGAAAACACAACCTTCGTCCTATCAGCCTCATCACGATCATCCTTGGTTGGGTTTGTTAATTTTGTTGCAGAAACATGAACATTCTTGTCTATTGTCTCACCTATTTTAGACCCAGCACCTACTAAAATTTGTAGTAAACCAAGAACTAAACTCTCAGTAGGCATAGCAAAATAACTGCATTTCCCGTATGAATTGTCACGGACAAGTACACATAGTTCATTAATGACCTAAAAAGAAAAACTTCAGAAAATAAAAAAATTGCAATAGGATATATATCGAACAAAGAATAATAACTAATTAACTCACAAACACTTACTTTTGCAGGCAAGTAGCTGCCAAAGTAGAGGACAAGTTTTTCCTTGAATTTATATGAATCAGCAGGGCCCTTTAATAAAATAATACAACGAAAAATTAATTGTAGCAATTACAAGAGAAGTAGATCAAAAGTGATATTGTACTAAACATAAATAGTAGGAGTGTAAAGCAGTTACCTCCTTTAGTATATTAAGATTTTTCTTGGAGTGATGATGTAGTTTGTTATCCTGATTTTACATATGTTCACATAATCTTTATCTTATTCACCCTGCTCTGCTGATGGTATTTCGGCTGATTCAATAGTGTTTCTGTGAGGGAGAGTAAGCCGAAATAAGCACAAGCCGGCCGAAATAAGATAAAGATTATGTGAACATATGTAAAAAAAAATCTGAATGTTCTAGCAATTGTCATTCAAAAACAACTCGACACACCTTCGATTTACAAAAGTCAAATAAATTCCTCCATCAGCTTTACATGTGCAGCAGAGAGAAAATCCTGCAAGATAAGTAAATACTCGTTTGAATAAGAAAAATACAAATGAAATCAAAGATACAATAGTCAACATTAATGGAAAATACATTGTTATCGTCACGCTGAGCTACCTTTGAATTGTGAACATCAGAATCCATGTATCTTGTCCTTTTGGTAGCCATCTAAATGAAGTAACTGCTAAATATTTAAAAAACTCATAAATTTTGAAAGACTAAAACACAGAAAAAACCAAGCTAAATATTGCATTGATGGGATCACTATTGCTTCACACTGAGACATCATACAGTTACAACTTGCAAAAGCTACCATACTGACAAAACTGAGTACATGCAATTTATACCTAACCTGAAAGGGAAACTGAACCGTTTGACACCAAATGCTGAAGAGCAATCCAATAAAAAAATCAGCACAAAAAAGGATTCACAATAGTAAGCACTAGCTCAAGCACAACACAGCACACAAGTAGACTGACAGACAAAAGGGACACAGAGGTTCAGACCAATAGGAACATTTATACTGAAAAAATAAAAATACTGAAACACTGACAAAAAAAAAATGAAACTGAACAAAGCAACTTCTTCTAAAACTGAACCAATGAGCGTGACCTTAGAGAGTTAACATTTTTTTTGTCTTGGTGCTGCACCAATAGAAATTTGATAGCATCAATGCATTAAAAAAAGTACATCTGTAGCAGCATATTGCCATCTTATGTTTTTTCTTATGTTTTTTCTCTAAAACTGCTATGGACTACCTTCCCCTTGATATCGCAAAGGACCTGGCACATTCATTTGAAAAACAGAGAGAGGCAGGTATGCATCTAACAATTCGTGGTTCTTCTAATTCTCAAGGTCACACACCTCAACTAGTGAATTGTCAACCCTAGGAACAATTAGGAAATTGTAAAAACAACACGGAAGCAATTGAACAAAGCACAAATAAAAAGCTTGCTGAAAACTCATCTACACAGCAACCAAAGTTTGACAACCAGCAAAGCTTTCGGGAACACTGAATCAAGCACAACTGCTAAACGAAAAAATAGCCAAAACTGAAAAATGACTTAACAACAGCTGTCTACAGTTCTGAAAACTGATCACACCAAGCAAGCTACTGTCGGTGGGTCACTGCTGAAAAACTGATGTTCGGTCTCTCCTAGCAGCAAGCACGAGCAAAGATCAGAAAACAAAGAAAATAGCTTGCTGAAGCTATAAAAAAAGAAACGAATGAGCAGAGATTTCAAGTCAAATTTGCCAACTAGTTGCTGCAACTGCTGGACGATGACCTTTTCCATGTAAGAAAATTTAATCCACATTTTCAATTGTGAATTGTTGCTGGTGTGTCACGGCTAGTACGAAGAAGGATTGGACAGCAAAGAAAATCACTACAGACTAACATACAGAGCAAAATAGTGGAGACAAAAAATTCAAAGGAAACAAAGCTGAAGACTGAATATCAAACTCTGAAACATGAAACAATAAAAAAACTGAAAACTGAAAAACCGACACTCGAAAAACATAAAAATTAAAACTGAAGAAGACGTGTAGATGACGAACAGGCCCTTAACAAGTACTCCTATCGCGCTCATGCGTGCTCTACAGAGGACGCACGCACAATGGCCTCTGCAGAGTGCAGACTGCGGCACGGGGTTACAGCGACAGCGTGTCTTCCTACTCGCCAACGGCCAAACAGCCCTAGAGAACTGGGCCTACACCGCTACAGGAGGTGCAAAAAGCCACCGCCACCACCCCACCACGCCTTGCAGAACGGATGCGCGGTAGCTCACGCTCACTGCAAGCTGACGGAGGCACGAGATGGGGCTACGTGAATCACATTACTACATTACAAAAAAAAAACTAGTGCTCAGTGACTGAAACTGAAGAAAAAAGAAATACTAAAACTGAATCACAAACAAAACAAACAAATCCAACTGACCCTATTGGAAATCAAGCTCACGCTTATCCAAAGTCAATAAAAACTACCTATATAGGCCTGCATGCATGATATTAAGTCCATCATGCTTGATAATATAGTTCTGGTATACTAATATACATTTGTCAAGTATAAGAACTGTATAATTCATATAAACTACCTATATGATTTTCAATTGGCAGGTATGCATCTAACAGTTCGGGGTTCTCAATATCTCTGAATGCATCACTGTCAGAGGTGGCATCAGACTGCATAAAACCCAAATGCACATGCTTGAATGCATCAGTCTTGCAGTATAAACCCAATTGTCATTTAGACTAACATTTGGCAGGGATGTATTTGCATTTATACTGAATAAACCCAGTATTTTAACTTGTGAGATTTCAGATGTGCATTGCAGTGCTGCTGCTGCTGCAACATGGACACAAGACAAAATATAAAACATGATGCTGCTCCTTCTATTCACTATCTCCGTTGCTTGCTTACAAATCATGCAGGCCTGCAATGTAAAGAGGCGGTCGTCGATCTAGACCTCCTTGGTGACGAAATCCGCGCCGATGGTGGCCTTCTACTGGATGCTGAACTTGTAGACGTAACTGCGCGCACCAAACCGAGAATTCGGTCGTCCCTGATTAGTACTGAAAATTGAATACTGAAATCTGGACTGAAAATTAAATATTCTAGACTGAAAATTAAATATTCTGGACTGAAAATTAAATTGAAATATGAAAACATGCAAACAATAAATGAAATATTCTGGACTAAAAATTGAAAAACTAAAATACTGAAATCTGAACCACTGAATATTGAAGGGACAACTGAAACACTGAACCTCAAACTCTAAACGAACATATACTGAAATCTAAAACACAGCCAATACAGAAAAAAGGAGTTCGCTGACCTGCTCAACACATGTTATTAGTCTCCTGCAAGGATTCCTCAAGCTACTACCATATATTACCTACCACTAGTTTGAACAAGGCCTTCGGATCTGAAGCTACTGCAGGCGATAAAAACAAAAAATCAAGTGGCAGGAGTCAGAGTATTGCTCCATGAAACTCTCCTACAGCATGCGCTACAACTACATTCAGGTAGCGTCCAGCAGCGCAGACACGCTCCTTCAATCCTTATGCCCAAAAACTTGCTGGCCACCAAATCAAACTCATCCACCTTCCGTTGGTACACCATTTGACTCGTGCGTCCGCGCAAACACAAAATGTTGACGAACCAAAATGATTGAAATCCAAAATCACCTGGGAGACAGATGGCAGCACGCACCTTCAGCTTTAGTAATCGACGGAGACGACGAGAAAAGCACAATCCTTCGCCGACGGTGACGCCAGAGCAGGAGCTCGCGTCGGCACCTCCGCGTCCGCGTCCGCCTCCACCCCCGCACCCGCCTCCGTCTCCGGCGACGCCAGAGCCGGCGCTCGAGTCGGCACCTACGCCTCCGTCTCCGGCGGCGCCAGGACAAAGCGCACTCTATCTCCGCCGAGTGTCTGAATCGACCAAAGGAATAAAAAAAATGAAAGATGGACTGAAATGGGCCTAGTACACGGAAACAAGCCCGTCACGCGGGGAAGTGACCCAGAAACAAAGACACACCTCAGATTGCACGAATCTCAAGAATCACAGCCATAGAAAACTGATTGATTAAGACGGTCTCAGCAGCTATGCATCACGCGACCCATACCCAAAATGCCTAGTTCACATAAAAGAAACAGCCTCTAACAGAGTAGGCAAAGAGAAGACCTATTTTGCGTCGGAGGTGAGAGGGAACTCAAAAATGCGTCGGTCTCTCTCCTCGACCCAAATCGACACTGTTGACCACAGTGGGCCCGTAGGAGACCGCGTAGGAGGCGCCGGGGTGGGACGGCCCGAGGAAGAAGAGGAGCTCGAGCTATTCGGCCACCGGAGTTGAAGAAGAAGGCTAGCATGCCGTCGGAGTTGACGAAGAAGGCCGGCGCGGAGATGAGGGAGCAGCCGCAGATGAAGGAGCCACCACGGCCGCCCGGCGCGAGATCCACCCCCGGCCCTGGCGAGCTGTGCCATGCGGGTGGCCTCCGCCCCCAGCCTCGTCGCGCACTACTGTGTGGGCGGACCGGCCCGACGAGATCCGCTTGCGGCCATGTTCCACCCGAAGCGCGTGACCAAGCTCGCTGGCGCGAGGCGGCACGCAGTGGAGGACGTGCGGGGCGGCGCAAGGCCACTCTCCTCGGCGGAGGGAGGCACTGTGCGGCAGATCTGGTCGGTTGGGAACGAAACGAAAGAGGGAGGCGGGCGGCGCATGTAGGGACCCTTTTGGGTTGGCCGTCGGAGAAGAAAAGATTTGGGTGGGTGACCCTTTTACTGTGCGGGACTCAATGCATAGAATGGTTTTTATGTTTGGGTTTGTACTATTGGAGACAGCCTAAGAGACACCGTCTCGTTCGCTCGAACTTATCAGCCGTACCGTTTCAGCGAAATAACAATATTTTTCTCTCACAACAAATAAGCATCAGCCGTAACATCTGATAAATGAATAGAAATTCTGAAAAAGGGCCATTCTCGCTTCCTGAAAAGTCAACGATTTTTAACTTTGATCAAATATATTTAATAAAATATTAATATTTATGGTACATAATTAGTACCATTAGGTAGATCGTTGAATATATTTTTATAATAAACTCATTTGAAAATGTAAATGTTGTACGTATTTTCTATAAACTTGGTTAAAGTTAAAAAGTTTGACCAATACAATTCATATATGGATTCTTTTTTAAGGAGGGAGGGAGTACGTTGCTTTTTGTTTGGTTGCTCCGGCCAGTAACCGATAGCGGCGTTATCAGATTACGGCCTGTGCAATCCCATTGCCCCTCCTCTGCGGGTGTTATCCGATCCGTAGCCGGCTGCAAGACAATAAAAAAAAAAACCAAACAAACCCCACGTTCCTTTCCCATGCAACACATACCACCGTAAGCTGATTGCATTTTTTTTTCGAACGTGCCTCGGGCACGGTTTTTATTAAGCAGGAGAAGAGAGTTTACACAAAATTACAAATAAACGCCATGGTAATCCACCGATTTCCAAAGCACAACGTCCCACGGACATCGAGTGAAATTAATTTACATACTAATATGTTTGCGACGGGAATGACCCCTGGAGTGTTAGCAAAGACAGGAGGTGCTTGTATCCTGTCAAACACCATTCCTCGGCCTCACCTCAGATCGAGCAAGTCAGACCAGCCGCGATGGTAGAAGCTCCATCAAAAGTGCGCGAGTTCCTCTTCTTCCACGGTCTCCAGCCAACTAGGAAGAAGAGCGAATCGAACCCCTTTCTCGCCAGTTTAACAACAAGCTTTCTGTTGCGCAGCCACCACTTCATGACATCCTCCTCATTGACGAGCACAACATCCAGGAGATGAAGTTTGGCCAGTAGAATGGCCCAGACCTCTCTGCTGTAAACACAACCCAAGATGATATGATACATACTCTCCGTCAGTTGGTCACAAGTGATGCAGATGCTGGAGTCTTGCAAGCCATGGCAAAACCGCCGTTCTACGGTCCAGCATCTCCTGTGCATTACCAACCAGAAGAAGGCAAGAACTCTTGGCGGCGCCGAGGTCTTCCAAATCTCCCTCGCCCCAAGAGTCCTCGAAGCTCCAAAGAACATGGCTCCATAAGCCGAGGCCGAATAGTAGGCTCCATCCGGTGTGAGCCTCCACTGAAACACATTAGGTGTTCCCTGCAAGGGCAAAAATCGCCGAACTTGCTGCCACACAAACATGAACTCGTTGATGACCTGAACCATATGTGCTCCGGTGATGTGGCGCACCCATGCATTACCCGGTAGTGCATCACATACCAGCGCCCCCCGACGCCTTGCTGCAACCGCCTGAAAGAGCGCCGACGCCATTGACTGAATGCTTGTGCCATCAATCCAGTTGTCCGTCCAGAAGAAAGTCGATTCCCCGGAGCCAACAATGGACACTGTGGCTGCCTTGAAAACTGCAGTCACCATCTTTTTTTTTTTTCTATGCAAGCTAGACCAATTCAGTCTTTGATCCACCCAACATTTCCACTCCCATCGGACCCTCAGTGCCACCCCAGCACGCCGTAGATCAATGATGCCCAACCCTCCAAGATCCTTTGGTTTGCAGCACGATTTCTAGGCCACTTTGCACTTGCCTGCAGTGACCGTCTGCTCGCCACACCAAATGAAAGCACGTCGCCGCCTATCAATTTGCTCAATGGCCCACTACGAAAGGCACAGCGCTATCGACATGTGGATCGGTATTGCCGAGAGCGTGGCTGTGGCTAATGCTGTCCTCCCGACCATGTTCAGCATTCTTCCTTTCCACTGTGGTATCCTGGAGGCGACGGAGTCACCAAGCTCTGCTCAGCGCTCTTCCTCAGCTTGAAAATTGATAGTGGAATACCCAGGTAGCGGCATGGGAAGGCCTTGATCTTGCATAATAAAGTGTCACGCATGAGTTCTGACTCCTGCTCCGAGCAGCCAATCGGAGTAGCCACACTCTTATCCAAGTTGGAGAACATACCAGACGCCAGGCCGAAGAGCTCCACCGCCCCCTTTAGGACGAGCAGATCATCCAATTTTGGTGTTACAAACATGACGACGTCGTCGGTATTATAAGTTGACCACGAAAGCGTGCGCAATGACCCCCAAGGATGACAAGAAACCCGGACATCCAGCCAATGAGATCGAGATGGTTGAGAACCTCCATGACGAGCACAACAAAAAGCATCGGTGACGGTGGATCACCTGGCGAAGTCCCCTCGCATGGCATATTCTTCTCCCCGACCTACCATTCGAAGTATTTTTGTGCTAGCGATTGACAACATCTTTGGAGACCCGATCCCTCAACGTTGGCCGAAGCCCATATGCGCCAACACCTCGAGCAAGAAGTTCCATGCAACTGAGTCAAAAGTCTTGGCTATTTCAATCTTGAGCAGGACACAGGGAACACATTTTTCATGAATCGCCTTATAGGAGAGGCGCACAAGCTGGAAGTTGTCGTGTATGCAGCGACCTCTGATGAAGGCCGTCTGGTTTGGCTAAACCAAACTGTCCAGCACCTGTGCCATCCTTGCTGCTAGGCATTTTGTGATCAGTTTGCCAAAACTATGAATGAGACTGATAGGGCGGTAGTCCTTGATCTCCTTGGGCTGATCTTTCTTTCTTAGCAGGATCATATAAGCATCATTAAGCAAGTTGAAGTTTCTAGTGTCGCGAGCCCAGAACGCGTTGAAGGCGTTCAGAATGTCCACCTTGATTATGGGCCAGGCCGTCTTATAGAAGAGGCCTGTGAAGCCATCTGGCCCTGGCGACTTGTCATTCAGCATTTCAGAGATCACTGCCCCAATTTCAGCTTCAGTGAAGTGCACCTCCAGGCTGGATAGGTCCACCGATGGCAGCCCAATAGTCCCAAGGTCGAATCTCCGGGAGGGAACAAAGATGGTGCCCACGACTTGGTCATAGTATTGGTACAGAGCATCAGCCATTCCTTCTTCACTGACAATACATTGCCATGAACGTGGAGAGACCATATAAAGTTTCTGCGTTTTCTGTGGCAAGCCATGAGGTGAAAGAACTTGGTATTTGCATCCCCCTCGGCCAGAAACATCATTCTTGAGCGATGTCTGGCAATCG